GGGAGGGGATGGGGAGGGGAAGGGAAGGGGAGGGGAAGGGGAGGGGAAGGGGAGGGGAGGGGAAGGGGAGGGGAAGGGGAGGGGAAGGGGAGGGGAAGGGGAGGGGAGGAGAAGGGAAGGGGAAGGGGAGGGGAAGGGAAGGGAAGGCGAGGGGAAGGAAAGGGGGAGGGAGAAGTAATGAATAATGAAACACACCACAGCTCAACCATACGACCATCGTCTCGCTTCGCCGAGTGCCATCATAAGCCGGAGAAATAATTACTTCAGGGGGCACACACGTCTTAGCTAGTCCGAGATGGACTTCCCTTGCGCGGCTTGCTCAAACGACCCTGTATCGAATCGTGGGGCTTTGCCCCCAAAAATTGAATATTTCGGTCTCAACAAGAAGCGCTTGCATGTCATCAAGCTAAGTGCTCTCTTCAACCGGAGGCATGCTGCAAACAGCCCGAGGGTGCACCTGTAAATGCTGGCGCGAGAGAATTCTCAGTGAAGTGAACCCTCAGTGCCTTTTGCCCTGCTGCGCTTTGTGGGCCGCTGGTGAAGCCCGCCCGGCGCCATGTTATACGCATCCGCGCACATCAGTGGCCAAACACGCGCACGCAACCACTCACAAGCGCAATCCGGAGTCCCGGAGAGACAGCCACACCCAACTCGGAATTTACGGGCTGTCTTGGCAGTTTGTAGGTATTGTCCATATCCACGGAAAGGACCCACGTGCCGTTTGGATGAGTCGTCCTGTACAACAGTTGGCCCTGTACGAAATGCAGCAGCCGAACGTACGGCAAGCCGCAAAGCACACGTGTTGCATGTTAGCAGGTTCGCCATGCATTCAGGAGCGTTCATGCACATGCTTCTACATTGTAATAGTACGGGGAAGAGGCGTCTACATATATCTATATGTAACTATCTGTAAATAAATAGATAGGAATGCATAGGATGTGCAAACTACTATGTGTTGCTTAGAGGTTGGCGACCCTTGGCGGTTATTGTTTGTGTCATGTACGGAAGGCAACGGTTGATAGCGGATCGCCATCTATCTATCTATCTATCTATCTATCTATCAATCTAGCTATCAATCTAGCTATCTAGCTATCTGGCGACCCCTGGTCCCCTTCGAAGGGTAAGAGCAGCACTGCCCCGCCGGAGCGCACCTGTAGAGGTACGACAGTTGCATCGGCCATGGGATCATAACCGGAGAAGTCGTACTCGGCACCTGTGCGAAGGCAATAGACGGCAAGGCATAAATACCCTAGATGGATATTTAGTGTGAGACTTGCCGCTTGGATGCCGTTCACATTCGTCGATTCGTCGCCCAGAAGCCTCCCACTCTGTAACATTACAAACATTCGTCGATATCGACGTTTATCGCGATGCCTCCCTATGCTGGCGATCATCTAAGCGATTGAGGCAGGTGAGGTAGGAGAGGCGGTTGTGGACGGCATGGCGCGGTGGCGATGGTGCCGGTAGCGCACTTAAGTGTGTGTGTGTGTGTGTGTGTATGTGTATGTGTATGTGTATGTGTATGTGTATGTGTGCCTGTGTGTGTGCCTGTGTGTGTGCCTGTGTGTGCGCCTGTGCGCCTGTGTGTCTGTGTCTCTGTGAGTATTACATCCGCTGCTTGTACGAGCAATTAGGGGTCACGCCTTAACGAACCAAAAGGTTCCAACACAAAAGGCCGACACTGAAGCCAATGCAACAGCCACAAAGGTACGCGCAAACACACACGCGCGAGGTAAAGGAGAAGGCGGAAAACCAACCAAAATAATGAAACTGGCACGTTAACAGAAAGAACAGGCACTGCTAACAGGGGTAACCACCAGAACGAGACAGATACGGTGATACAAGCAAAGTTTGGCTGCTGTGCCACTTAACCAACCATGTAGGTATGCGCATCTATACAAGTGACGCAGAGCTCACCGCAGCGCGTAGAGGACAGCAGTGAAACAACTGTGAGATATTCCAGGGTGAGCAGCGCGCGCCTCGCTCGGTGCTGGCAGCGCCGCTGTTGCAGAGCCCGGCACAAGCAGCAGCTTTGTATCATGTCGCTTTTAGGCTTCGACAACCTGAGCCAGTGACAGGGATAAAGGGAACGAGTTTGCATTTCAAGCTTTACAATTGGTCTTGCAGAATAGGATTCTGGAAGCCGCCAGTGAGTCCACACGCTGTTGGCGGGTTATCCCAACGACGGGAGGCTTTTGGATAACCCGATCGTGTGTGCAGCCAATTACCATAACATAGAAGGTATATGTGATTTGATTAATGGTAGGTGTGATCAGCGCACTCCCGTGCTGGAAAGTTGGATGGACATCCATGGCATCGACATGGCTGCAGGAACTTGAGGTGCGACTTCAGTACGAGAATACAAAACTCCCCAACGCCGATTTATCAAATACTCCTAAGGTAGCCATCCAGCTTTTAACAGAACGATTAACATGCTGCAGCTTGTTGCGGTCGACTTGGGTTAAAACGGCTGACTTGGGTTAAAACATTGGTCAAGATCAATACATCCAGCTTACCTCAACAGGTTGCGACCAATTTATAAAAACGTAACCTAACAACTCTCTATCCGTGGGCTGGTGCCGCTTCCAAAGAGAATATATCCAGACAAGCTCGACTGAATTAATTGATATGCTTTGAGTTATATATTACACTGTGATTCAAATATCAACCTGAGTTTAGATGTAGATGGGCCGTTTAGCGCGAGTCCAACGATGAGCTGTCTTACAAGCTTACCTAATAACTCTGGGCAACCATGAAAAACTATGCAACAATGCTCCGTAATTTACCACATTTATTAAGCAACTGTGCTTCCTCGGACCAGCTCCAACCTTCGCTGCAGGTAGCTTCCATTCGGCTACACTGCTTACGGAAGGCTTGGAAGGTCACCTAACCAGCTCCTAAACCGAAAATTATTGGCTCTTACGTATGTTACATAATCATTAATATTTAACTCGTGCTTCTCCACCCTGGCCTTCCAAGTTTATCCTTCGCGTGTGTCGTCGCCGACTGAGGTGAAAATTACCGGATATGCGACGAGCAAACGTGACCCTGGACTTTGTTACATACCAGCTAGCTTAGGCAAGTCGTCCGGGAACCTTCCGTGGGCACCCATCGTAGTGCACAGTCCAGATCGTTTATAGTTTCTTGCGGGGATGGAAACGGGTGAGCAACCCTGTCCTGGCATGACCAAAAACGCGATTGCCAACGCCGTGCGCAAACCTTTCCTGCCGAAGGCGACCTTCCTCTCTGCTGTCCACCTAGACGAAAAATATCCCCAGGTCGGTAGCAATTACACACAATCCTCGTAACCGCGTTTCAAAGGTCGTGCAAAAAACGAGGATTACTAAGTCCTTCCCCAGCAGAATACTGTAATGCTTTTACATTTTACACTCCCTCACGAAATCAGCAGTATGAAGCATCGCCTTCCCCCTGTCGAGACCATGCCCACCATCGACCACCCTTACGGCCATTAGCAGACCAGCTTATGACTAATAATTGAAGACACTTGTACGCAGGTTTCAAAAGCAGCACATACCTGTAAGGTCCCATCGTTTACTTCTGGCATAAGGACATAAGGATCATTGTTGACCCTTACTTCCGCCCACATTGTGCACCACCTTCCGCCTTGCTTGAGCTTATTGCACTGAGTTGCGCTGGCAGTGTCACGCGCACGCTCAACCAATTGAAACGTGCGTTCCCTTAGCCTATCGCGACCCATCGACAATCCTCGCGCATGTACGGATGCGGCAGCTGCGGTGCGTCCCGTCCTTGTTAAGGAAGGTCAAATCGATCGAAAAGCTGCTCGCTGCTGGCAAGTGCACGCGCCCTCAACAGGTGCAGCTATCCATATGTCGTCAGTGGACAAGTGAACCATCTTGGCGCATAGACCAGCAGCAGAAAGCACACACAGGCACACACATCCAGCCCCGTTTCCCATCAAGAGCCCCCGGTCCACGTGTAGTCGCCTCAATAGGGGCAATGTTACTTCTATGCCGACTGCTGAATGGCGGGTAAGAGGCTCCGTAACGGTGCTTACATGCATGTCCAGCTTACCCACGCCACCTTGCGCGCGGCTAAATACTAAATGAAGTAAAACTTTTGGTCGCCTATAGGCCACACCATCATATAAATGATCGATACCCGTTAGGGTCAAAAGTCTTTCCGATGGTGGAAGGCATTGCGCCCCTAATTGATGGACGGTGGTGACCTGGGATAAAGTTAACCTGCGAGCCGGCCAGGAACGGAGTTGGGCCGCTGTCGACCCGGCAGATTCCGTTGGATACTGGTGGTGGGTGCGGAACCTGAGCGATCCACTGAGAAGTTGACTAGGGTGACTAGATGAGGGTGCCCCGAAATACCGGGGAAGGCAGGGTTTCGCAGGGTAGCTGCCACGGGCGAAGATACACCCCCCTGTTTTACACATCATATAGAAGATAAGTAGAACCCGTCTAATTGATGAGTGGTTGCAAGGCGCCTTTGAAGGTTGCTGTCTTAAGTTCGTGCGTGATTTCAGCCTTCCGACAGCAATTAATTAACCACCAAATGCAACGTTGGCACAGTAAGTTGGATCTAGGGAAATTAGTCCCCGGGCGAATCTCAGTCAATCGTCGGCGGTGCCATCAACCCATCGAGGCCCCGCCCGGAGCCCCTGATGGTAATTACAAATGTTTCTGTTGGCTTTTCGAATTTGAGAAGTGCGTGCGTACCGAGAACCTACTACAGGGAGGGCTTACCGGGCCCACCGTCAGACCATTTCCAACGTTCAATTAACAGATGTAGCGGGTCTCCTCCCCCCCACACACACATTGCAACTGCCAAAAGACACCGTAACAAGGCAACACAAGCCTTGCAAATGGGGCCTACATCTGTCACACATACATGTGCATTTGCTTGCCTATACTTGCTGTGGCCGCTACCTGATAACAAAAAAAGAAAGCCCCATCCGCCTGCCTAGGCGCCACATACATACATACGCGCGCCACCCAACCCAAGACAGTTACGGGAATTAGCTAGATAACTATGACAACCTATGGGGACGTGTCCCAATGGAATTAGCTAGATAGCTATGACAACCTATGGGGACGAGTCCCAAAGGAAATTCAAACGGTGTTACAATACTAGATCCAGCATTGTAACACCGCGCACATGAAACTTACGACATGAGTGCTGGAAGCGGCCGACCATTGGCCAAACAAAAAAAGTACAGCACGCACCGTGCAAGGCAGGTAGGTAGGTAGGTAGGTAGGTAGGTAGGTAGGTAGGTAGGTAGGTGAGTAACACGCAAGCAAACCTTAGCGAGGCCCAGACAGCTGACCCGCTGTCTGTAGCAAGGAGAGGAAAAGCGCCCTCGGGTAACCCACAGGCCGTATTAAATCATCATCATCATCATCATCATATATTCCCGAGGTATGTGTGTGAGTGTTGTTCATTACTCTCCAACACCTCCATACTCGTCTCCCAGTCATTCATCACAAGACATGCGCCACGCGTGATCGCAACAGCAGCAGGCGGCGCATTCCGCATACTTTCACACACACACACGCATGCGTGCATCGGTAAAGTTATTGAATTACTCACTGGGGCGTTTTCCGGTATCACCGTTAATAAGATCCTTAAGGCACATCGCAATAATGGCGATCACTTGCGCTCCTTACGCTCACCATGCATGCACCGCCGTAAACGCATTTTCCTGCATCTTTACTATGCTTCCGCCTTGCAGGCACGCACCTTGCATGCAGCACCTATCTGAAGCCGCTATTACACACACCTAATTCCTGTACTTTACACTATCCTATCTACGCACTTATGCAGGCCTCGAAAGCTAATCATCTGCCACTATTACTTATGCATGTATGCATGTATAAAGCTTTTTATGAAAAACATACGTGATCCGCTTGTCGGATAAGGGGATATTGATAACCTTTATGTCGTACGTGCGTGTAAGCACACGCAGCATGCACCCATGCTCGTTGAGCTTGCGGTTGCACATGTGCTGTACAGCACGTAGGACTTGAAAAGAACAGCCCATATTATTCCCCCCCCCGGCCCCTACGCACGAGTTTCTTAGAGCCCTCCGCCTGCAAGTAATAACCAACTTGCTCGTCCGTCATACATAGCACGGCAATCGATAATGTCCTGCCACCGTCCAATTCATAAATCCAACGAGCATGAACTACTCTTGCCACTTGCCTCGTTAGGGACACACCATCTATTGCCTAGAGGGTCAGGATCAGCTCTAGATGAAGGCATACGGGATGCAACACTATTTATAACGAACTGAAGTTGGCGCTACCCGGTGCGCTATCGATAGATATCTGGAGCGGTTCTGCCCAGCGAAGCCCCACCGCCACACCCCACCCATGGGACCAATGAACCAACAAAACGAACTAACTGACTGCGCACGCCTCCATCACGCAAGTGTAATAATAAGCATGCCCAGCATCCATGATCCCGTCCAGAATGAGGCGAGCACAAGCAGGACAATGCCACTACCCCCAATGTAAATAGTTGTTCGGGGGGCATTTCCGAGGTGGTTAATGAACGAATAACGTGCAAGGTAAAAATGCATATAGATATACATATGTATGGTGTGGTGTATCATCTCCGGGTCTAGGTACTAGCTAGGTAACAGCTCATTATGTAACAGTTAATTATTATAATTATATCTAAAAAAACGTAGTGTGCACACGTTCGCTCTGTAGGAGATAGACAGCTGGTAGCAGCTGGTAACGAATAGGAAAGATCTGGATAAGCCAACGCATATGCGGCAGTCCGATTCTCAATCATGTCCTCAGCATCGCACACCCACACAGGTAGGCACGATTGGGCTGTGTATATGCTGCCACGCCACGAAGAGCAACACCCAACCAACTAATCCTCGAGCTACCGCTTTCAAAAGCTTTGGACATGCAGGCACAATAGTACACTAGTGTAGTAGTACTACTACTGTTGCATGCCACACAAGGTCGTGGACTAGCTATAAATGTAGCCGGCACTCGTGTAGCCGGCGCCGGCGGCAGCAGCAGCATCTGTTGAGACATGGCCGGCATGTACGTCATCAGCAAAGACGACGCAAGACAAGACCTTTCATTCATTCTACCTTTCATTGTAACTTCGGCGGCCTAAACTACCGTATTCGCCCTTTTTTATCATCGGAGATTGCTTGCTGTATGTACGCTGTATGTTCATGGCACCATTCTACATACGCTATCAGGCACGCACCGTCCGATGGTTCGTCATCGAGTCGATGACGAATACGCAACAGCTGAATGTATATTCATATGCGACACAAAAAAGTATTCATGCGCAATAGATGACATGCCTCGTGATGAATGTATGCACAGTCGAACGTGCAATAAACGTGCTGATACATGATCGTCAGTAAAATTTTGATCACCTAAAGGTGACACCCTCATGTATTAGGCAAGTAGGGACCGTCCCTACCTACCATACGAGGGTGTCGCCTGAAGCATCAGTAAATGTTTTACTGACTGAATCATAATGATTGCTCCGAGCGCGGTACCGACGGCAGCAGAGTCGCGCACAACCCGCACAGCAAAAGACCTTGCAGGTGATAGCTAGGAAGAAACCAGGCAAGACAGCACCGGCAGATGCCGGTCAGCCCTCCGACTGGAACCCAACGTCCTGCAGATGCAGATGAATGGCTTTTAAGGTAAACGTTTTACCCTGCAGAGTCAGTCAGGAAGTGTGGAACTCTCGACGCTACAGGACCTCCACGGCGCGCGCACGCACAGCCATCCTCAAACCACGCGTCATAAGAAGTGCGCAACCGGATAGCTAGCTGGGAGGGAGGCACTGAAGCCCTCCTGTCCTTAGCTGCTGTTCGATTGCTGCTACTGCCATGCACAACTGTGCTGCTGCGTGAGGTCAACCCCATTTCTTGGGTGGAGGGCTCCTAGCAGGGGATGGCCTCGGCGGCGTTGCTTTAAATTTACCCGGGGCCATTGGTAGCGGGGGCCCAGCAGGTTGCGTCGGAGGCCGTGGGGCCGGGGGCTTAATAGAACGTCCTAATGGCGGCGGCCGGGACGGCATTTTGCGAGGCCGTGGGGACATAATCGGCGATGATATCTGTAGTTTTTTAGGTGAGGGTGATGAAGGTGGCGGTGGGGGCGAGGGAGGTGGTGGTGAGGGCATACTGGGAGACGAGGGCGGCGGGGGCAGGCGACGAGGCGAGGGCAATTCTCGGGGCGTGGCTGGTCTTATCAACAGCGGCTTGGCGGCCGCTATCGGCAGCGGCGGCCTGGAGATAGCCAGTGAAGAAGAGGAAAGAGGCGGAGAAAGCCTGCACAGGCACAATGAGGGTTTATGCGGCGCGAAGCTGATTGTCAGGACTGATCTCCCGAACTGGAACTGACGCACGCTAGAAGCGTTAGTGCCCCAGGGAAAGATTGTTTGCACGCATGCCGGCATTGTTCACGGTCCTGCACGGTATTGCGTCAAAAAGTTAACCAAAGTCGCTGCAACTAGTGCCACTCTTATAACAGTAAACCACAGTAAAGCACAGAAAGCGCGTAACAGGCGCAGAAGTCAAATACAAAATGCGCCAATACAAAACATTGACGACGATTTAATGGGCGTGCACTTACAATGGACCGTTCACACAATCCCTGGGACTTGTCGTGAAGCGACACATCTGAACGAAGATGGACGTGTTTGAACTCATCAGGATTTCTGCAAGACGCGCGAGACCGGGCATGCGTAGCAGATAGAAGTCAGCTTGCCTGCGAACTAAAGAAGCCTCTGTCTGCAAACCATGGCCAGCAGGCCGCCGCCGGTGAAGGTGGCACAGACACAGCAGACACAGCAGCAGATTGAACGAAGATGACGCAAGCAACAAAGTGTCAGGTCCATATGGTTTATATGGCTTACCTCCCGCAACGATGAGTAGTTTATAATTCGAGAAGGTCAAGTTGGTTCCGGAATTCATGACGCCGATTATAGAGACTCTGGGGTCGTTGCAAACCGAGGGATCGTTGTCGATGTCTTTGCTTAGCTCGTGGATGTTCAGCTGCAAGCAAGGGGAAAATAAATCGGTATCAGTAATTTTGCGGGAAGTAATGTTTTTCGGGGAAGTAGTAAGCAAAAGTAAACAAAAAAGTAAATCCTCAATCCCTCTCTAGCTGCGACACAAAGACGTGCGAACATGTGCTAAACATCGCTTATTGCTTACATACGTTGCAACTAGCTAGGGATGTATGTGTGCGTACGTATGTACATGCAGGGAACATGTAGTTGCGCAGATGGATAAATTCGTACACAATTCTGCGCAAGAGATAGACAGGAGTAATAGACCAAATCCTACCAGCAATGCCTACGTTCCGTGCGGGCACCTAAAACCTTTCCATCAGCAAGACTGGTTGGCGCGCCGAAAAATGATCAGTAACAACTTAATACGTAGAGACACGACCGCATAAACACACGACGTAAGTGCAGATGGCATAGCGAAATAGCTATCGTACAGTACGACACAAAAACCGTCACGTGGTGTCAGCATGCAGATGACAGTCCATTGGGAGCGAGCTGCTGGCATGTATGTACGGCAATGCACGGCTTCACCTTCCGGTTAAATCCAGGCAAAAGGTCACTATCGCCTGCAGCCTTAATCCTGAAGGCGATGTAAACGTTCCTGCAAAGGAGGTCAGCCCCATGCGGCACAGCCCCGACCGACCGTCATCGCCCACGCAGGCCACAAACACACAATTAGGAAAAATGCGGACATCGCAAAGATATTCAAGAGCCTCGGAGTAAAAACTCAACATGGCATCTACAGCACTGTAGTAGCTGGCCGCTGAAAAGGCCTCTCAAGATGCTGGTGGTCGCGCTACGCACGTATTTGTATAGCCGTACTGTGTACCAGCTACTACAAGCACATAGAACAGCTTAAAAGGCTCAGGGGGTATGCGATCATGACCGCACCCTGTGTGTACCCACAAAATACACATTCATGCATATCTATATATGCGTATGTCTCATCATTCCTTACACGAGTGCTTTTGTTAGGAAAGAAAAAGATTAAATTAGGATATCTGGTGGCATCCGAGGTGGCTCTAGCCAGTGGCAGCCCACCAAGAAGTACTAGTGTGTGAGGAATGCGGTGAGGGTCAACCGACCTACTTCGTGTATCCGGTCCCAAGCCAGTCGGGCTGTACCCGGAGCATGACACCCGTAGGGCCCACGGCGGTGGCCGGTAGCGTGAAGTTCATGAAGATGTGCAGAGGGAAGTTGGAGGAGTTCAGCTGAGCCAGTGGAGTGGCCCAGCCCAGACGCCAAAGCTCGGGGGCAGACGGGCAACTTTCTCCAAATCCCATGGGCGTTGACAAATCATTGTACTCCGCGCCATTTCTCCATCCGTGGTACAGCCCAAAATTATGGAGGAGCTCTTGCATGACTGTAGCTTTCCGAATAATTCCCTTGAGAAGCAGCAGCAGCAGCAGCATCAGCAGCAGGTGTTCGTGGAGGAAGCGCATCCAAAGCAAGGGGCAGCGGGATCCTTGTGGCATCGTGGTGGGTAACGGTGAACTAGGAGTGAACTAGGCGCCGGCAAGATACGCTCGGCAGGTAGGTGGGAGAGTGGGTTATGTAGTAAGTGAGGAAAGCAGCAGGAAGTGGCGCGGGCGCGCGCATCCACCCGTGTAGTAATGCAGCCTGTGCTGGCGACCGGATCACATCACAGATCATATAGACAGATCAGATAGAGCCCCAAGCATGGTGAAGCACGCGACGAATGAACGAACGAACAAACGACCAAGGCAGCAAGAGCAGCACAACGGAAGGTCACGGAAGGTCCAAATGCTGGGAACTGTGACATCAGGAAGTCTGTCACATACATCCCAGTCACAGCGTTAACCAGCTAGTGATCCGTGGTCGCGAGGACACTGCACCTGCATTCATAGCCATCGCCTTCCTGCAGAGACGATATGCTCCCTGCCTCGTATTAGCTGCTACTCGGCCGCTACTTAGCCGCTACTCAGCTACTACTCGACCGTTACTTAGCCGCTACTCAGCTGCTACTCGGCCGCTACTTAGCCGCTACTCAGCTGCTACTCGGCCGTTACTTAGCCGCTACTCAGCTACTACTCGACCGTTACTTAGCCGCTACTCAGCTGCTACTCGGCCGCTACTTAGCCGCTACTCAGCTGCTACTCGGCCGTTACTTAGCCGCTACTCAGCTGCTACTCGGCCGCTACTTAGCCGCTACTCAGCTGCTACTCGGCCGCTACTTAGCCGCTACTCAGCTACTACTCACGAATAGATCTGGTGCAAACCACGTCTGAGTTCCTGGGACATCCGCAAGTCCCATCCAGCGGCAAGTGTCCACTATGCGCATGGGTACGACGTAGAGCAGGTGCGAATATGAAGAAGTCCTTATACCTGCCCGGTGCACAGGTGCAACCGGCAGAGGCGGCGGGGGCCGGCGAAAGCAAATCAAAAGGGTTCGAAGTCGGCTGAATGATGTATGTTTGTGTATATGACATGCATGCGCCTGCTACCACGACGCTACTGCTTACTGCTGCACGTGAACCCTATGCGTAATCGGCATCCCATTATACATGCATGAATCACACACCCTACGGCACTGATTGGGTAGGTAACCGATGTTACCCACCTTCTACCCCCAGGGTTACGCTTAAGGGGGGGTTACCCCCCGTTTTATGCCATAGGGTGATACGTGTAACACATACGCTTATCCAGGATCTGTCAATTCGCTCCTTTCGAACAAGCGGCACGTACTGCTGTTGGACGTTCCTACTAACCCTATCTGTCTGCAGTGATTGTCAGGAAGAGAGCATTTATGCGCAACTTAAAGGTCGCTTCCTCAAGCACCAGGTGCACCAAGAGCCTATCGGTAACTTGGGAGTTAAAAGACAGACATACAGATGTACATTTAATTGTCTGTATGTGGTTCTAATGGATCGCCCTAACTCCTAATTAGGATCGTCAACAGCGCACGAACCTTGTGGTAGTGCCTTTCGCGCCGCTAGGGAAATGGCATCATGGTCGCAGCTGAGGATGTCCCGGGAGCATGGCACCAACGTGGACACAACCTGCACGTTGTCATCACATCACGCATGCATGCATGCAAGCATGCAAGTGTAACAATTCTTATTCAAAATCGTGTGTCTGGTTTATCATTCACAAATTGATTAAGGGTTACATCGAAAAGGGAATACGTTGACACGGTCAGGCCAATATTAATCCCCGGGCACTGCTACTATTATTTACGAGGATATGGCTAATTGTGTATGTGATCGGGGCCCCGCTGCGTAGACGCGCGCACGGGCATCCAGTTTACTGCTGCCACAGCAGATAGAGCAACAAGACATGATGACGATCCCTACCTATTACAAGGGGGTGTCGCTTTTAGGTGGTCAAAAACTTTAATGACACGCGCCTAACCTTTTCCTCTTTTTCCCTTGGTGTCTTCCCCGCTGTAGTAGCTGGCCGCTGAAAAGGCGGTACATCGGCATCCTTTCCTCACCAAAGCGTTTCCAACCAGCAACAACTAATATGTTCCAGCAGAGACACAAACGCACCGTCAGCGCGCTCGTGTCAATAACCATCTTGCCAAAGCTGCAATTGCCGAAGAAATCCACCAGCCCGTTGGGTTGGATGAAAAGGTCTAGTACTTCCCGATCCTGCGGCGGCACAAAAAAACAAAAAACATTTTGGCTGGATTTCCCTCATCCAGTATCCTTGATGTAAGGAACAAGCCTGTTGCAGTTACAAGGCACATACATACAAACTTACATACTAGGGTTTGGCACTACTGGTAACGCGCGACCATTGCCCCCCGGGAGATCCCGGGATCGATACCCATTTGGGTCAGAGTCCTTCCGATGGTGGAAGGCATTGCGCCCCTAGTTCATGGACGGTGGTGACCTGGGATTAAGTTAACCTGCGAGCTGATCAGGAATGGAGTTGGGCTGCTGTCGACCCGGCAGATTCCGTTAGATGCTGGTGGTGGGTGCGGAACCTGAGCGATCCACTGAGAAGTTGACTAGGGTGACTGGATGAGGGTGCCCCGAAATACCGGGGAAGGCAGGGTTTCGCAGGGTAGCTGCCACAGGCGAAGATACACCCCCCTGTTTCACACAGCATACAAACTGACAAAAGTGTGTTGAAGGGCAGGATCCATCAGAAATCAGAAATCCCCTGAATAGCACATACTGTAGCATATTACATATTCTCCGTGTCATGCTGATGCATCCTGCTGCGCCGTACCCCCAAATCTTCGCCGCGTGAGATTCGCATCGCGGGTCATCACAGCGGAGCATTCGACATTGACACAGACGGTGCATTTAGGCGCTAATTGCGTGGTGCTAGCAAAGGGGATGAGAACAAGACAAAAAAACACCAGCTGTCCCGTATTTTTTGGATCGCTTTATTACACGTACGTGCACGCGGCCTCAACATGTACGGCTGATTTGTCCCGATGCACAACAGTACATCTATAATGATGCGCAACAACACAACAGAACACAACACAAACGAACCGCCCGCCCCATCCGCAATAGTTGATCATCCACGTGAATTCGCTCACCGTCATTCCCGGTTGGCTGCCGCACACCGAGGATGCACTCAGATTGACAGTCATCACGAGCAGCCGCAGCGTTTGGTCGGCAAGGGGCGGCGGCACGGACGCCGCCGCTCGAATGACCTTCACGTCCGAGATGTCCGTACAGCGTGGGATGTTGGGACCGACCGTGTTGCAGGTCTACCGGCGGTTGTGCGGACATGTACGGCACACGGGATATGTAGCCGTCGATACATCATCTCACAGCAGGCAGGCAGGCTGGTAGCTTGGCAGGCAGGCAGGTTGGTAGGTTGGTACGTTGGCAGGCAGGTTGGCAGGTTGGTAGGTTGGTAGGTTGGTACGTTGGCAGGCAGGCAGGTTGGTAGGCTGGTACGTTGGCAGGCAGGTTGACAGGCTGGTGAATTGGCAGGCAGGCAGGCAGGCAGGCAGGCAGGCAGGCAGGCAGGCAGGCAGGCAGGCAGGCAGGCAGGCAGGCAGGCAGGCAGGCAGGCAGGTAGGCAGGCAGGCAGGCAGGCAGGTAGGCAGGCAGGCAGGCAGGCAATAAAACAGCAACAATGTGGCCACGTGGAAATAGAGGTACTATGAATCTGCGGCGGTAGTGGTAGCAGTCCAGCCTCACAGCTCAACGAGTAACCAGCTGCCTAATCTCAACGCACACCCCGGGACCATCCGACGAGGTGCGTGCGGAGGCATCTACGTACATACGATTTTGTTGTTGTAACCTACGAACAGCACCAACAGCACCAGCAACATCAGCTGCCGCCGCAAACATCCCGTAAATCCTATAGAAACCTATAAATCGCTTCGCCTTAACACAGCCGCAATCACCGGATAAATTCCAGATCAGAATCTTGTGCGTCATGCTTTTGAAAGATTAACCTGGGCATGAAGTAAGAGGACATCTTGTGCTGATGAACCATTCACAAAACCAAGGTTGCCTCCGTGTCGTCGGCGCTCTACGTATAGCCATGCGCAGAGTTACAAGATAACAGTTCCGCACACGCGTGGGGGGGTGTCCTTAACGACCGTGGGAGCCATGGACGAACACGCAGTCATCAACAGCAACGCACAGCTTCATGACCTGTCGTTATACTTCCCCACCAGCCCACATCTGTGTACTGTACAACAGTAAGTTTGGTTGTCGGTTAACTCAATTTGCCGCAACCCCAGTTTGCGTACATGCGTGCGAAACACGTACGCTAGCACGCACCGCACCGCACCGCACTTACCAGAGAAATCCAGCTCGCGGGCGGAATAGGCTCGCCCGAGGAGGGCTCCAGAGGCTGCCAAGGCAGACGGTAAATAGTGTCGTTTTTGCTCGCCGCCAGCACCCAGGTTCCCACTGGCAGTGTAGTCCGGTAGGCGAGTTTGCCCTATATACGTACATAAATACGGAACGAGCGAGGTTGCGACAGGGGGGTTGAGACTTCGATTACGGTTGGTTACGGTTGGTTACGGTTGGTCAGGCAAGCAAGGGAACCGAAAGCCAATCCAAGCAACGGAACCTACTGTCTGGCGAGGTGTGTGTGGTGAGGTGATCGCATGCTGGTGAGAGCAGTATCACGCATGTTTATCTGCTGCGCCTGTCCGACGAGAGTATAATTTTGGATTGATCAATGCCATGAGTTAGCAGCAGGGCTGCCACGATTGGAACTCTTACGCCTTGCTTTCCAATCTCCTGGGGAGAAGTGTGCACCGTGGGTACACCATGCGTACCATGCGTAAAAGCCTCAGTAAGGGAGATCGTGAGTCCATCACCATTTTTGCATATTGTCTCATCTTTGTTCGCCTGATAGCAATCTTCTCCTCGGGGTTCAACAGGGATCCAACCAGTCCTCTAGCCGGCTCCCTAGCCGGTAGACTTCAGAACCCCGTAAGAAGGATTCTGAAGTCCATCGGGTAGGGAGCCGGCTAGGGGACCGATTAGGCGTTCTATCGCGCAATGCTAGGCGGGCTCACCTGTATAGTGATGGCCGCCGCTGTAGTTGCTGTGGTGAGACTTGGCGAAACGTCCCGGGCAGCGAGTGAACCTGCCACATGGGTAGCCGCCCTTAAAGCTATAATGGAAAATCTGCTGGTATGGATGGATACGGTGGTACGGCACACGCTTTGTACGGCACCCTCACTCTTCTCGTAGGGTTTCATACGTGCCATATTGACCCTTGGTTTCACTGCTCTCAACCACTTAATGCACGCGTGGGCCAAAACTAGGAAAATGCAAAAGGACTACTCAACAGCTTTCAGGTCGTGTGAAACATTTGCGTCGAAAAAAATTAGCAGTTTAGTACGCCTATCATGCATACTCGCTGCATGGCACATGCATGCACGTCCACGGAGGTGCCGGAGCAATAAAATAATGAAATGGACGTGGAAAAAGAAAGAGCGGTAGAACTGAGTCAGGACGGCGTTCCCGCAATTCCTGGATTGGTGGTTTTCGGGGTTGGTGTTGCAACCAACCCGCCGTAGAGTTTTGGTGCAGCCGAGGAATGTGTGCATGTATTTGTTAGTAAAATAATAGATGCGGTCATCGTCATGTATTGAGAGGTTCCGCTGAAGTGCGAATCTTGAAGGCAGGGTAAAAGATGAGAATTGCCCCGGAGCTGCTCCGCCAGAGCGCTGTCCGTAACGGCTATTGCACAGAATCGTACGTGGCGGGCACAAAGACGCGCACGTATACACAGCTTCCTAGCAAGCACCTTACAGAGGCATCGCGGCTTACCCTCGTGTCCAATAAGGGAAAACAGCAGCACCGAAAGGAGTGGTTTAAGGCCTGAAGTTGCTTTTGGCTGGAAGCCCGAGGACCGCTCCTGCTGCCTTCGGGACCGTTGTCGCTGGCGGAACGGACGGCGGTGTGCGTCCATCCCTGACATGATGGCTTTTGACCAGAACAGTTTTATTCTCTTTATAGATACTGATATAAGATGCCTGCCTTTGAGGGATCCCAGGTTGTAACCGCACCTAGGCCTGTCTGTCACTTGAGCTTCAACTCAGGGAGATCAGAGACAGAAAACTGTGGGATAGGTAAAGCCGCAATGCGTAAAGAGGATCCGGCGGCTGGCTTGAAGTAAAGCGTGCGCGCCAAGGATTCCAGACGCAGGCGACAGGCGTGTTGCCATAAAGCAACACCTAATGTTTTGGGTCCTGCAATCCGCATAAAATCTATTAAGAAAATAAAAGTGGAAAGTATAACTTTTGGCAAAAGCTTGTGAGTAAATTGGAAGAAATCGTACCTTCGTAATGTGATTTCGAGTTATAGGTGCCGCGCTGATCACCGTACCTTCATGGCAAGACTGTTGCGTAGCGGAGAGCTCAATTAAAGAAATGTCGAAGTAGCTCCGTGTCTGACCTTGAGACAATAGTCCTAACAAACAACAACAAACAGCTTTCACTGCAAGGACGCGTTGTACATCATCCCTCACGTTTTAACAATCTTTTGCAGTAAGCGCTATCGATCTACTGGTTTGCCAGCATTAGAGTGTAATGGGAACGTAATCAATACTAGTATGTCCTCTATCTCAGCGAACACAGGTTACGGGGTCTGCCACGGTGGTTAGCAAACGCCGAGCTTTCGTCCGCGGAAATGTAATTCACTTCGCAAAGCAAATGCTGTTGCTCGAGGAAACAGGATAATGTTTCGATCTCGCGCTAAAAAAGTCGTCAGAACTATAGTTACTGTATTCGGTGATTTGTGCACATGAAAGCTATAAGGAGCCTAGGCATTAAATAAGAGGTCCGAGAGCAAACCATGGCACGTCCTTATGGAAATTTAGTTATGCGGCGTGGCATGGAAGCCAAAACAAGCCCATAATGTTCCGATGGAAGATGAAGGTAAGATGTAAGAGGTTGCATTTAAGCTACAGTCATGCAAAAATTTGCATTAGCGTTGCTTGTTTTTTCAGCTTGAGGAGTCTTGAGGAGCCGCTTCTGGTAACAGCTCACTCCGGATGCTGATACAATACACGAAAGAGCTGTTCTCATTTTCAATTCTCTGTGCCGAGATGAGAACTGAGCGGGTCGAAGGTCAATACATATGGAGCTGTGCGGCGGAGCACGGCAGATGCAGCCATTCTCCAGTGCGTGATGGTCGTTCTAATAACACCTTTACATCAACAGGGCCTCTTCGGGGCCATTTACGCAGGATATGGAGACTTATAAAAGCTTCCGCGATCGTCACTCGTCCGTGTGCCTTTCTCGCGCCCATCCAATTAAGGACTGGGGGCTACGCAGCCACCGCAGTATTAATAAGCCATACAGCTTACACAAATCTCGCCCTACTACATATGCCAGCGTGCAGCAGCTTGCATCAGCGGCTTTCCTTAGTAAGACAAAGAATCCAGCCGACATCGACACACACGCTTACACAAGCACACAGACTGCTCGTCAATCAGCTACACAAACAGTCAACAAGCTCTACCTAAATTACACACAGTCCAAAAAAGAGACGTATCACAAAGCGTGGAACGATAAACCACGGATCCTCTACAAAATCATTCGTTTCCTGCAGTACATTAACCGCCCGCCAACCCCAACCCCCTTTTTCTCCGCTACTTAAGCAGCACACTCACGGCACTTCTTAAAATTGGGCAAGACGCAGTGCCGTACAGGTTCCAACAACAGTAAAAGTCATTTCCATGGGGGGTAACAATATTACGACAAACTTGTCAACATGATACAGACGTCTCAAAGTGTTCTCCAGCCTCTCCAGCGTACAGACATGTGAGTGTCTTGCCTCTCCATCCGGTACGAGTGTACGACAGCCGTACGGTCGGGAGTGATGTAGCCGAAAGGTGTGCTACGCCGTTAGTAGCGCTACACGAAGCCCATATCCGCTGGAAGGGTTGATGGCCCCCGTTACGGTGCAACCTGCTTTAACATCTTTACATAACCAGCAGCCCACCCATCCATCCATCCATCCATCCATCCATCCAACCCGCGTGTTGTCGAGGAGGGATTTGGAAAGGGGGGGGGCAATTCCGGTGCCCCTCCAAGCGGGTCTATCGGGGGCCCCGTGGTGGTGGGGGGGCACTTCTTACGTAGGCAATGCCATGTAGGGCCCTGTGCAGATGCGGATAGATAACAGATTTATTCGCTCCGGGGAGGGAGCCAAGGCGCCGCCGGGCTGGCTGCGGAACGCGGGGCCAACCGCTGGGAAGTACGCCGGGATGATGACGATCATGATAATGATGAGGATGAGGATGATGTCACACCTACAAGCCAGGAAACAAGAGCCAAATCCTCTCTAGCGCAGTAACGCTGATCGCCGTGCGTACGGCAAGCTTTACATCACTCGAACGGCGGCGGGGCCGCGGATGCAGGAGGGGGCGGCGGCGGCGATGCCTCGTCCGGCGGCGGCGGCGACGCCTCGTCCGGTGGGGGAGGCGACGCCTCGTCCGGCGGCGGCGGCGCGTCCTTGTCGGGGGGTGGGGGATACTCTTCTGGAGGCGGGGCATCCTCGGCGGGTGGGGGAAGTTCCTCCGCGGGCGGCGGGAAGAAGTCCAAAGGTGGCGGCTCGCTTGGAGGGGATGGCGGCGGCGGCCTCCGTCGCGGTGGCGGCGACGGCGGCGGGGACGGTGAGGATGGCGGTGGCGGTGGCGGCGGCGGTGAAGGTGGTGGCGGTGTCGGCGGCGGTGGTGATGGCGGCGGCGGTCGGGGAGGCCGCGGTGGCGGCGGCGGTGGGGGCCGCGGTGGCGGCGGCGATGGGGACAGCGGTGGCGGCGGCGGTGGGGGCCGTGGCGGCGGCGACGGTGGAGGCCGTGGCGGTGGCGACGGTGGGGGTCGTGGCGGGGGTGGAGATGGCGGGGATGGTGAAGGCGGCGGTGAAGGGGGCGGTACAGGTGGCGGCGGCGGCGGCGGTGGCGGCGGTGGTGGTGGTTGTGATGGTGACGGCGGCGGCATGGACGGAGACCTGCACAAATACGGTGCAATAGTTTCCATCAGCCGTGTGCGCTGGGCAAGTAGCTGCGAACCCACGGTTGCGCGGGGGCACGGGGAGCCTTCCACAAACCCCGACCAGCCGTGTCAAACAGGGCAGCGAAGCACCACACGTAAGGAGGCGTAAATAGCACTATCGCTCAATGCCACAAATGGCAAAAAACAAAAGTAAAGCAAAAACGTCCAGTTCCCAAACCCAGAAAACAAAAAAATATCAATGTTAATATTAATGGAGTTGAGGTCACAGTTGATGGATTGAGATTCGCACGCTGGATTGGTGGCGATTGCTGAACCCTCCGTCTCTGACAATGTTCGGATGGCTGGATGAGGGGGGATCCTAGGAGGCAGTATCAACCGCCTTGGACTTCCAGTTCGGATGGCGTAGTGCAGTGTGTTGTAATGGTGGATGGTGTGCTGTATGGTGTGATAAATCGTAGAAATGACAATGTGTTCAAGTGGCCCAGAAGCCTCCCACACTGTAACAATCCAAAATTCAATTCAAATTCAAATGTTAAGTGACTCGGGTTTCACTCGCCACCGTGCTCATTAAACGAGATTCTACGGCATAATGGGACTCGGCCCGCCCGAGGGACGTGAATGGGGTTGGGAGGCCGGAAAATTGGAGACCCGGGATGTGCGTCGCGCGCACGCGCGCGTGTGTGTGTTTCTGTGTGCCGTGAGGTGGTTTAGGAGATGACGGGTTTCACAGCTCCTCTTGCCTTTTTTCCTTTCACTGGGCCCTAGATAACGAGCTAACGGCGGCGGCGACGCTCAGCTATGATAATAACGTATATATTGCCCTGAGTATTGGTCCGTCTCCGTGTGTTAAGGAAGTACGGATTACCCCCCCCCCTCCCC